CATGAAGCAGTACTGTAGCAGGGTATCGGTTCCCTGTAGAAGCGGAATCAGTTCCCCTCTGACATTCTAGAAAATTTTAACATTTGGGTAATGTTCATTGTTCATACCGTATTTTACTGTTCATAAAACGTATATTTTCTTAAATTGGTTATAACAAACATGATTCAACAATATATTATCGTATTTTTCTTAAAAAGAGTTCAAATGTTCTAATATTTTTTAACAATATCATTTTTAAAAGTCAATATGACATCTCGGACTCGTATTCGGGTCGGATATGGGTTGGGGTGTTACAAAAACCCTCTAACGCTATTCTAACATGATTTTAACTTTCTGAAATCCACCTTTGATCTTACGAGGCACTTCCTGAGGTGTCCGCTCTTCATCCTGCCTAGTTAGGGCAGGTAAATTGCTACCACCATCAGGTCTATCACCTCTCACTTCTTTCGAAACTCTTATTATCATACTTCTATTATAACGTATCAGTCTAATTCTATTAGTAAGACGGTACACTCCTTACACTATCAGATCAGAAATTTTCACTTTATGTTGCCATGTATACCATGTTAAAACTCGTTTAATTTCAGTTTAAGCCTAGAATCAGCTAAATCTTAGCTTTGATACCATTAATTGTAACACCCCCAACCCGTATCTGATCCTGATTCGAGTCTGAGGTGTCACATCAAATTTCAAAACCTTTACTTTTTTAAAATAATGAAAATTTCCTGCTATAAGAAAACTTCATATTATTTCAAAAGAAAAGTTTACAAACTTATCAGAGCATATACAATTCAAATCGTTTATCTTACATGCCAACTATAGTTTCACAAAATACATATTAATAAAAGACTTTTCTGATCTGATAATCGGGAAGTAGAAGCTGACCTGTCTTGCATTGCCTACCCTTGCTTTACTCCTCTTATTGCTTCTTGAAACCTACGTGTGAAACACTCACATGCCAAGTCGATGACTTAGTGAGGCATAAATAAATGTATTATGACATATCATTACTAGTTCCTACTATGCAAATTTCATATGATCCTCATAAACTATAGAATGCATTATCCATCAAAACATAAACATAAACACATACATATACATATCATTTCATTATTCTTATTATTATTCTTATCATTATTCATATGATTAACCATCATATTTCTTAGTTATGAGCTCTTGTACCTAACCTTGTTAACCAAATATGTACATATCATCATACATGTTTCTGTAACATATTTCAAATATTAACTTAATACAAATATCATATAACCATTCATATGACAACTATAGTCATGCACATCATATATCACATATACCACTTCACATAAAATTCAACGCATTATCATATCAAGTTTATTTATAATATCTTTTATTTGCCCATGTATATTACTTAGAACTTAAGGTATGTGAGTACATAGAGGTTGTGCACTATGTTTCCACCACAGCTCATATAATTCCCACTATGGGCACTTAGACTTTGTCCCGAATGACCATGTAAAAATTTCCCGAATGACCACATGTAACATATATGTCCCAAAGGACCATTTCTTAAGAACCATATACATATTCCAATGGACCAAATATGTGTCTCAAAAGACCCTATGAATGTTCCAAATGATACATATATATCCCGAAGGACCACGTAGAACCCTCGACTCTTGGCATGCCAACTATACACCTAGCTCTCATGACACATAACATGGGCATTATCATTTATATCATTTCACATATTCACATAAACACATAATTCACTTTCACATTTCACGTAGCTTATGTCACATAACTTGGATCACATATACAAACAGTCACATAGATCCTTTACATTATTTATATCAACTTTCATGTCATTTCACATTTCTTGTCACATTTCTTATATCTTAATCTTATGTCTTCTCATAGACATATATTCACATGTTCAGGTAGTCCACCATTTCATCACATAAATATATAACTCATTTCATTTCATATATGTATTCTCAACATACTTATAACTCATAGTCATATATATATACATATATCATTTTACCTATACTTGTATTCTCATGGTTTATATTCTTCTCCTCATAATCACATATATTCTGTTTAATAGCATATATATATGTATCTAATAACTTATGTCATCTCATATAACTTATGATTCATTCTCTAATGTTCATCTATATCATGTAACCTATGTCATACTTATAAACACATATCACTTCTATTATTTCATTTATATATATTAATCTAATCTATTTACTTAGTTCCATTTCATATAATCTATATGTGATAATTTTATTTAAGCACATGAATATTTCGCTTATAGCTTATCTTATATGTTTGTATCATCATTTATTTCAAGTCTCCTAATTGATATACTATTCTCATATCCTTCGATAGGTCAATCTTATTTAGCTTATCTCACTTCTCATTTACTCCTAAAATTCTATTATACTAATTCACATAAATGATCACACAACTATATACTTGTCCAACTCAGGTTCCTATTATTTATATATCCTTACATTTGCTTATCTAGCTCATATTAATTCTCATGAATTCACTTTTATCATATTCTCATATTATTACCTAATTTATCTCATAAACATGTATTCACATGCCTTAAAAATCATATAACTTATACCATTTATACATAGTCACATAGTTCAATATCACATGGTTTATATCATCCTCACATAACATGTATTCACAACAATCATATAACATACACAATAGCATATATCACATATACTTATATCAAACACATGCTTATAATCATTAATTCATGTATTCTAATATATGAAATAGACTTATCGCAAGTCTTATTTCCATTCATCATCATATAATAATTAATATACACTCACCTGGCCTCACTAGTCAACGTTTCTCTCGATCGATATCTACACAATCATACATTTATACATATCAGTATTCCAAATATCATACTCTGATCCTTCAATTCTTAAACAAAAGGAAGTCTATTTTCATTTTCCCTTTGAAGAGGTATTGGTACCCACTATAGGGTATCGATACTACCCTAGCTGAGGTATCGGTACCAAGATGGGTATCAGTACCGAAATTACATTCGATATTTCCCTGGTATCGATACCTCCCTTATGGTATCGCTACCTATGGTATCGGTACCACCTTCCCAGGTATCGATACCCTTTGAATGCCTTCGTTATTTTACTTTTGAGGTATCTGTACCTGATGAAGCAGTACCAATACCCCTTGCCCATATTTTCCTTTTTAAACCCGAAAATCATACCAAACTCAATTTTGCTTCCATAACCTCCTTTTAACCCTTAAGACTTAACTATACTTATTCAAATCAACTTATATCACTTAAATTCATCCCAATCTCTAGTATCCTACATACACACTTGAATTCAATAATCAAGCCAATAAATCAACATGTTCTAAATTTGTTTCTAACACTCCGAATTTCTTAGTTAGATCCTTGACAAGTCAAATTTCACTTCAAAACTTATTTATTAACTCTATCTCAATAATTCCTTTAAAAACTATTTACCTTCAATCTTACATAACTTAATCCTCTTTGAGTTTTAAGCACTCTGAAGCTTTCCTTAAGCTTTTCTATCACTCCAAGAATTAAACCCAACTTTAAAACGAAAAAATTAACCAGCTTGAAATCAACTTACCTTAGCTATGGAGACACAGGAGGAGGAGGAGAAGAAGCTTGCATTTTTCTAGACTTTTCCTTTTCATTCCTCCATTTCCACATGTAATATCCCTTAAAAAGAGAGAATAAAAATCTTCTCTTAGAAAGGACCATAATACCTTTATTACTTTCAAACTTTATTATTAAATCCAACATCAAAATTCTCCAATTAAGTCTCTGAACTTTTAACTTATTTCAAAATTGAACACAAATCTTTAAAAATTCACATTTTAGTCACTATCCCTGATTTGGGATGTTACATTTATAGTAGAACTTCCAGCACTCAGTCTCCTTCATAAGTTCCGCCTTTCTTCCCTTTGAATATCTAGCAAACTGAAACATCCACTGGAGCCTCCTGTTATCAACTTCACCTCTCTCTAACCAGTTTCGGCACCTTCGCATTTTAAGGAAATCCTGCCCAAAACATGGATCAAATAAGTAACACCAAATGCAAACATAATTACTTTTACCGTCATCTCTTCCCTCAAAAGATGAAGAACAAAAGTGACACCGGAAAAGATACTCTCTACCATGTCCTAATAACATGACACAACCGTTTAACCATAACCGTTTTGATGTCCACCGGGGACCTCATAGACCTGAACTCCATGCCTCAACAAGGAAGAAACAGAAACGGAACCAAGAGAAATCACTAGAAAGAAGGGAGAGGAAATTCTCTCTCTAAACCTGCTACCAGTTCTCAGTAGACATTGAAATGTCTACGAATTTGAACATTTGATTGTAGGGAGAAAGGTGAAGCAGGAGCTAGAGTTGATGGAATAACAGCCTCGTTAAACACTACACTATCAGCTGATGGGGTACCGAATGCTTCCGTCGAGAGATTGAAAGAAGGATTCATTTACTTCCAAGAAAGAAAAATATGAGTAATTCACTCATCACCCCATCTATTTTCATCAATTTTTCTTTCGGTTTTATTGAATCCCTTGCAAATCTTCCTTCTTTTGCAGTAAGAATCCTGCTTTGTATGGTGAGCTTGTCAAGGGTCAAAGCCCGAAGGTGTATTATATATAACAAAATGTCGAGTTCGAATCCGGGTTCGAATCGGTTTGAACTTTGGTGATAGTTTATATGTTTTGAGTCTACTAACTGTTTGAATAAATGCTTGCAGTGTATGGTTGTTGCCTGCTCAGACTCCAGGGTCTGCCCATCTCATGTGCTGGACATGCAGCCCGGATGGTGCCACCATATGATCAGGTTCCTTTCAGACCCAATTTTCTTAGCTGCTTATATACACACACATATTTTGATATTACCTCTCATTTTTCAGTTCATAGATGTATTAGAAACATGTTGCTGACTCTTTGTCCATGTTATATGGCAGACTAAGTACGCCAGAATCGGATCCGCTATCGAATATGCAGTTTTGCATCTCAAGGTGAAGTATTCTGTAAGAATTTTGGGTTAAAACGGATAATACATCACAGGAGGCAATCTCATGCCAATGAAAGTTTTAATATCTTTTATATAGGTACAAGAGATTGTGGTGATTGGGCATAGTGCCCGTGGTGGAATCAAGGGGCTTATGTCTTTCCCATACGACGGAAACACCCCGACGGAAGGCCTTGAGATTGTTTAAGAAAAATGATGGGTATTATGAAGTAAAATTTAGTCTAATTCAATTGAGATTTTTTACAGTGATTTCATTGAAGATTGGGTTAAGATTGGAATGCCTGCTAAGACCAAGGTGCGAGCTGAACATGGTAGTGAGCCTTTTGGAGGTCAATGTGCACACTGTGAGAAGGTAAACACCTCAAATCTCGGCTTCAAATTCAAGTATTATTGTAGTTGATTCATACAGTTATCTTTATAAAATGGAATAGGATAGATACAAGATTCAAAATTATAAAATTGTAAATGAGGAACAGCTTAAGATCACATAGGTTCAATGAGGAACTAATAGCTCTTTCAGTCTGGCACATTCTCAAGAACTAGGGATTCAATGAACCGAACAAGAACTGTTCAAGAACACACGGGCTCAATGGGGAAGCGATAGCCCTTTTACTCTGGTACATTGCCAAGAACCAGGGATTTACTGAACTGAAAGAAAACGGTTCAATGACTTGAAGGTCACACCGTTTTGATTTCCGATCTGGGTTTTTTCTATTCAAGCATCGGCTGATTCTTTCAATTGCAAATCCACAATTTGGCTATGCTAAACAACTAATGGGGTGAATTTCATTTTTTTCTTCAGGAAGCCGTGAATGTATCACTTGGCAACCTGCTGAGTTCTCCATTTGTAAGAGGCGGATTGGTGAAGAAAACGCTAGCTATCAAGGGCGGATACTACGATTTCATTAATGGAACTTTTGAGCTATGGAGTCTTGAGTTTCAGCTTTCAAACCCTCTCTCTGTATGAAAACACCACCATCTCCATCACCATCACTGTACCATCTTTGTTCCTTAAAAATCATTACAATGTACTTAATGTCTTGTTTCTTAATAAGTTGTTACGATAAATAAATATATCTATGAGATAGATATCACTGGGCTGCCACCGCCACCGCTTCCAGTGGCAGTGGTGGCTCTTTTGACCTATGAATTCCTCATTTAAGCATACTTTCATATAACTTTATTCACTGCCATCTTTGTTATGTAAAAGATGTGGCCACCATACTCCACTGGAAGCTCTACTAGGAACATGAGCTTAAAGATCATCATCACAGCAAAGATGAGGCTTTGAATCTTCAACTGTTTTACCCTCTTTTCTTATGATTTGCTGACATCATAATCTGAATTCTGAACTGAGTTTTGTAGACGAGACAGTTTCAAGAACTTGGATGCTTTGACTGTTTTACTAAATGTTTCAGTTCATGTTCTTTAGCATAATCTCTGGCTATGTAGATTTTCAGGCTTGAGTTAGAGTAACATAATTCTGCTAAGAAAGTTATCATGCTCATGTATAATACATGTCAAGCTTAAGTTTCAAATATAAATAGTCGAAAAAAATGAAAAATTAGTGCAACTTAACTTCGAATTGCATTCTCAATGGGTCATTTTTACCCACCATTAAGGAGAGCTGTCTCTTGTCAATATTAGCTTAGAGATTAGGTAAAATACTTCAAATAGTAAAATATAGTTGGCCTTAGGCTTTTTGTTCCGTGTAAGCATGCTCAAGTTTAACCATTTGATAGAGAAATTCTTCATAAGCCGGTCTCGATTTATGTTATTCGGATTCGAGATTGAGTATCAAATGACGGCATATATCTAACATTAGCATGCTCAATATTTTTCATATATTTAAAGGATCATAACTTCATCTGTGTTTCGTGTCAGACAAAACTCGAATACTTTGAGTATTTTATGATTTCTTTCTTTGGCATTATGCAGCAATCTAAGGTTGATTGATTATAGTAAAGGGAAAGGGTTAAGGATGCTCATAAATTACTTTCAAAATTGGCAGATTAGTCAATTCTTTCACTTTCATCCATATAAACATCAAAACCAACTACTGCCTTGAAAGGCAACTTACCTTTGCAAGTTCCTTTCTCTATTGGTATTCCCAATCAAGAAAATTCTAACTATAAGTGGTTACCAACAATAAGCCGATGTGACCCAAGACTCGGGTCGGTGTCAAATTCGAGTATGCATCCGACCAACGCATACATACTCATTTCTTCATAAGTATTTTTCATGTATTTGAAGGATAATTATGTCTCATATTCATTAACGAATACGTGTGGGACATGAATGTGATTGTGAATCCTATAAACATATAAGAGTTCGAGTAACATAGATAGCTATTGAAAAATAAAACAGTGGAAGTATAAGAAAACAAAATGTCACCATTTCTTTATTACATACGTAAGAGATTGAAGCATACAAATAAGAATGTTACAAAGGAATCTCAACAATTCCATAATCAATGATTGAATCATATAATTTGCTTTTGACCCTTCAAGACAAATATTGAAACCATGTTTTTTTTTAATATTTACATCAAAAACATTATGATACTTTAATACCATCATCTTTGATTATCTTAGTGCTGGTGTCAAGAAGGGTCACTAGTGATCTTGATTTCCGGCTCCGAACCCGGCCTGCTTCCTTCAACAACTCCCCAACCTCCGTTTCTCATCAATGACATCTGGATTGGCTGTTCCGAGCTTCTCTTCTCGGATGTCAATCACATAATCCAGGATGTCAATGGCATCATCCAATCTGTGAAATATAATTAAACTTGTAAAAACACAAGAAATGTTCTATATCGAATCTCAACATCTGCAAAAGCATTTTACATGTCTGTAATCGGACCATTAGCACCGGAAAGTGAAAGTAAAGGTGGTTACCTTCCCATTGCATCATAGGTACCAGCAAGATTGCTATACACCCCTAATGTATCAGGGTGATATGGACCATATTCCTTCTCTAATATGCTCCTTGCTTCTTCGAATAGATCAGCTGCCTCATTTATCGAGTATCTTTGAACGCAGGCAAGCCCCATCTGATTCAGAGCAATCCCGAACAAGGCGGACTTCTTCTCTCCGCTAGCTCGAAACTTTGAAATGGAACTTTTGAAGGTATTGTAGGAATCAGTGTAGCTCCCCATCATGTAATACATGACTCCCATCTGTGCTTCAATGCCTGCAATCGTACTTTGTTGCCCCGGGGCCTCACTGAAAATGGTTAAAGCCTTCTTAAGCAGTTTCAGTGCCTGATCTAGCTCATTCATGGATTGATATATAGCTGCAATGTCGATGAGGCCACTGGCAATCTCTTCAGAGGGGATTCCGGGGTTTGGCTTTCCATATATCCGGAGTGCGTTTTCGCAATGAGTTCTGGAATCCCTTAATTTTCCGATCTTGTTGTACAAATCAGCCAAACGAACGAAAACCAGAGCAACTGTTGGATGATTATCTCCTTTTGCAGACTTATACACTGTGAGTGCTTTCTGATAGGCCAAAACAGCCTCGTCGTACCGAGCCAATGATAAATATGCATCTCCAATGCTGCAATCAATTGAAGCCACATCCAGTTCATGTCCATTGGCTGCCATGGACATGCTAGCTAAAACGTAGTGCTCGAGTGCTGATTCGTAGTCTCCTTTCGAGTCACAGATGAGTCCCATGAGTCTTCTGTCGGCAGCTTCTTCAATTGAAGCAGGCGCACCATTCTCCCTATGGATGTCAAGAGCCATTTGACAAATCTTCTCAGCCTCATCAAATTGCAGTGCTTGGACATGTGCTTCAGCTACATATCGACATGTCTCACCGACTCGATGATCGGTTTCTCCCAGAACTTGTCTTTGAATCTCCAAACCTGCTGTATAGCACAATATTGAATTCTCAATTTGACCCAGCATTGCATATGTATCACCTAGTTGCATGCATCCAGCAAATTTAGCAAGTGCATGAGTCTGGCCATCCTCAATCACTGAAATCTCAATCGAGCGCTCAAGAACCGGAATCGCCTCGTTGTATTGGCCTAAGTTGCAGTACAATGCAGCCAGAACATGCAAAGACATTACGAGCTCGAGACTCGGTTTGCCATCAGCACATTTCTCAAATGATTTTGTTGCTCGAAATGCCAAATCAATCGCCCTCTTCGGATTTTCACCCGAAGACATCATATCCCTTGACTGTTTTAGCAGAAACAGCCCTAAGTCCGGATTCTCCAATTCATCGTCAAGAGAATCCCCAGTCCCATCCTGAAACTTTGCACCATTTAAAGCAAAATTCCTTTTTTCCCCAAAGAGGAAGCTGCGTTTACTTTTCTAGCATTATTCTCCTTTTCAACTGGATTTTTCTCTTGAGAAGATTTGCTCTTGGGACTCGATTTTTCCAGTGCTTCGGAATCCGATTGCAACCGATGCTTAACAGCTCGAGTTTGCCCCTTCTTCTTCTTCTTCACAATCTTTTTCTCACCAGACCCATTTTGTTGTTTCTTAGAGGCCAAGTCACAAACACTTTCCTCTTCTTTCCTCTCTGCAACCACCTCCTTTGTCATTTCACCGTCGCCGAAATCCCCGACGAGATGGCGCAATTCGGAATCGATCCTCGATTCCTCACCGTATGATCCGTAACAGGTCACCGAAGGAGATTGTTCAGAGCTTTCCATCTCGTAGACATTGTGGTAAAGCTGCTCAATGGAGGCTTCCATTACCCCATCAATGGCTAAATCAACCGAATCACTGTGTTGACTCTTTCGACTGAGTGCACTTTCTTCAACAAAACCATCTTTAAAAGCAGTGGAAACTCCATCGTTGAGTTCTTCAACTCCAGTTTCTCCAGTCCTTGCATCCATCGCTAATCCAGGCATTGTTTCCTTGCTGAAAAGAAATCAAATTTCAAAAAACTATGATTAAACACAAATTAACTCAATTTCAAACTCATAAAAATCCCATTTCATCATTTGTCTAATTCAATGATCAACCAAACTGAGGAAAAGAAAGCTATAAACAACCAGAATATACAGAGATATAAACTTGAAATGCTTCATACCTTTTATGGTAGCTGCTTTAAACGAAGAAAACCCAGAATTCTTTTGCAGGAAAGAACATGGATTAAATGAATGATTTTCCTTTGGGTTTTAATATTTAGTAGAAATGGGGTGGTGCAATGTCTTTCTTTCTATATCTATGTTGGCTTTATATATATAATTACATATGTGTCAACTTTGTTATGTATACAAGATTGAGGGGGGAATTGGGTAATTTCTGAAAATTATAGGGGGAATATTAGGAATTTCAAATTAAATTGGTGTAAATATTATATTTATTGGTGTGGGGGAATATGAAGCAATTTAGAAGGCGACTGTTCTCCCACCAATGTATTTTTCCTTTTCAAGAAATCCAAAACATGTCTAAATTTAATAAAAATAAAAAAATAAAAAATAAAACTCTCTAAAAAAAATAATCTAGAATTAATATAATAATTTTTTGATATATAAATAGTGTAAACCAAATAAATTATAAAATTTTAGAATATCAAAGTTTAGATTTAGAATTTAAAATTCTAGGTCATTATTATTACTTAAATATTATTAGCAATATAACAATTTAATCTGAAATCGACAGATCTTGATCTGATTCAATCTGATAGGATTGAATTTTTTCATAAAAAATTCAGATTCTAGTCCGATCGGAACGGATTCGGGTGAAGGGTTAAAAATCTCTGATCTGACCCCACCCAAAAGTAATTGTGTAATTTTTTCATATAAATTTATGTATAATTGTTATAATACTCTTCTCTCTATAGCTTTTTTAATTAGGTTCTTATTTTATATCGGGTTGGGTAAAGTCATATCGAATTTATATTCTAAAAATCAGGTCGGGTGAAAAATATATATTTTCGGGTCAGATCGGGTCAAATTCAGGTGGACGTGTATATATATATATATATATCGGGTCGAGTAGGGTCAATTTGACCAAAAATC